AATGTCACTGTTTGGGTATTCTATACATGCAGACCAATATAATCTCAAAAGTTACAGTTTACTGTTTTTCTCTCTCCCATTCCATTCTCCATACAGCATTCTATTGACTTTTCCTAAAGTACCAGGCTGGCTTCATTCTGTGATATTACACTTAAAATGGCACGAGATCTCCGTGATGAGCTGGCCTTGTTAATGCTTCAGTTCCTCTCCCTCCACTCATAGTCATACACAAACTCCCTTAGACCGTGCTGTCATTTGTGTTCTCACCCGTGCCCTTTGCTTCTACTCTGCCAGGAATGCCTTTTTCCACTTAAGCCTCCTCAGTGAACTACTTATCTTCAAAACCCTATTTGAGTGTCATCTCTACCAACCTTTCTCTAACACTTTCTTCTGAATAAATAGGGTGCCTTTACACCTTCTGCTGTTACATGTTTCACAGTACACTAATTCAATGATGTTCACGACTGCCTGGAACATAGTGGGTGACCAATAAACACTTGCTGAACTAACTTGGCCTCTCCTTGATGGGCCCAGAAGCAGGAACATTGTGAAAACACTGTTTTAGGAATTCCCATGGTATTTGAACAAAGTGGAGTGACTAGGCCATTTAAAATGAAATTATCCACTAGTATGACAACAAAATGTACAAATATCAACTCTCAGGCAACTAATCCAGACAAAATTCTGTAGCTTGTCTGGGCAAGAGAACTGTCCTAATGAGAAATAAAAGACCAAAGAACAAACTTACATGATTCCAAAGAGTGTCCTTATGTTTACATCTAAGATAAAGGACTAAAGTGTACTAAGGGTTGCCTTGGAGATGCCACCCAAACAGAGACGCATAATGCTATCAACGATCAAACATTAAAATCAATGCCACCTTATCCATCTCACTAATGAAGGCAACATGAATGGATGAAGTGACTGCAAAACCAACAAAACGGAGTTCTGGTCCTGCCTGGATCATTCACTAGATAAGGAAACTTGAAAATACAATGCGTTTAATCTTTATAAAGTTTGTCTTTTACAAAATGCCTCTTAATAAAAATCTACAGAGCATAAAGTCTAAACTCAGTATCAATTAGTATGGTGTGGTTAACAAAACTTAATGAACCTTGTTTTCTTTTTTATCTGTAAGACCAAAGCCCTTCTGAGTTCTAATCTTTCACACTCTGTGTCATACAACAGCATCTACATGCAGGCATTGATAGTTCCTCATGGAAAAGCATTGATACATACTTATTTTAGTGTGTCTTTGGTTGAGAAACATACTGGTTAAGACAATGGCTTGGAAATGTGGTCCTTTTGCTGAAGATGCCTGTGTACTTTGCTAAGGTAGTGATCTGTAGACATTTTATACTCTTATATATCTCAGTTCTCATTTCTAAAAATACTGTAATGACATTTCTCCTTGACCTCTACCTACTGTAGGAAGTACAGAGGAGATGGAGTGATGATGACGCTCATTAAAGCCATGAACTTCTTGAAAGAAAGAACAAATGTTCACTGTAGCTATCACATTAGCAACCTTGACACTGCTTGGGGCTTAAAAAATTGAGTTTTAAAAGAAGATGAAGCTCCCTGTTACCAGGATGCACTATAACTCTATCCAGCAAATCTGTTCAACAAAAGCTGAAAGGCAAAACCAATAAATGTGATTGATTAAGAATGTCTCCTCCATTCCACAAAACTGTATCACCCACTTGGGAACCAGCAGTTAGCATAATGGCTATGTCGCTGGACTCCCACGTAGTCGACCGCGGTTCGCGTCCCGGACCCGGTGGCTTAAAACTCATGCCGGGCGCGTGTGCGTGCGTGCCCAAGATCCCGGGAGGAGAATGGAGGAGAAGGGATTGCGGCGTGACCATCCCCCCTGGGGGGTGATTTCTCGCTTTCTGTCTCTATGTCTCTCTCTGTCTGTCTGGCGAGCACACGCGCCCTATAGTGAAAAAAAAAAAAAACCTCTCAAAAAACAAAAATAAAAACTGAATCACCCACTTGAAAAATATGAGATAAATTTTGTCTTTATCTTAATGGTAGTTGATAAGAAACATTTGTGTTTAGAAAATTCTAGAAACGGGAAAAAAGCACAAGAGTAAAAGGCTGTCTGTTGATGATGATGTATTCGGTAAATCTCTGGTGTGACCAATACTCACTGTATTCATGCTGGAAAGACCATGTTGTACACTGTAGAGATGTACAATGATTAAATGTAAATTAAAAAGAAAAGAAAGTTTCAGAAAAACGCTTTTAGAAAAATGCTTAGAGGGGAGAGTAGGGCTGCATCTCCTTCTGAGCAGTAGCCCATTGGCTAATGTATATGCATTCCCTCTGCAATTTCATCACAGCAACCACTTGCCCAACTTTCTGGAGAAAGACATGACTTCCCAATTTGACTAACTATATCCTGAATTTATTTTTTAGGGCTGATATTATCAGTAGTTTCTCATTGGCCATGGGAATTTTTAACAATTAAAAAGTGAGAGTTAAATAAACCCCTCAACTTCAAGTTGACAACATATTCATTATTTAACTTCAAAAGAAAAATGTGGAAAAGAATGTTTAGCCAAGAGGTAGAGCAAAATGGTAAGGTAGGTCCTATTTTCTGTGTCCTCTTGTTTCATTATTCATTTGTTGAATGAAAGTGTGTCAATCACTTATTCAGTAAATATTCACCAAATGTGTATTTTGCACCAAGTATTATGCTTGCCCTAGGGCTACAAACATTATCCCTTTTCTCAAAGAGCTTAATAAAGAAAAGGAAGGGGTAGAAGGAAGAGCATTAAATTAATTAATCTTCTACTCTATGCCAGGTGCTTTTCTTGTTAAATCCTCTTACCAACCAATGAGAACAGATGAGATTCTCTACACTTAACAAATGTGAGCTGAGGCTCAATAATTTGCCCAAAGTCATACAATTCTGAAGAGATTGGTATTTGCATTCAAATTGGTCTAATTCCAAAACCCCTTTTAAATATTTCTTCAGAAAGCAGAAAAAAAGAAGTCAGTCATTATCTTACCACCCTGATACAAAACTGTCAATATTCTGGAGAATTTCCTTTTGGTCTTTTTTTTTCCTACACATACGTTAATTTTAAAATTTTTTAAAATTTAAAAAGTTGTAATCAAAGTATGTTATATGGAAATTCATTGGAACTATGCCATTGTCAACTGTGAAATGCTCCATTATTCTATATAGCGGCAAAAAGTAAAACCATTGCAATTATATGATGCCACTGACTGTGAGACATGTCAGATTTCAGTGATGTTAAAACATGAAGGTTAAAAAAAAAATGTGTTTTAGAATCAGTGACCTACTGTATAACACATGGACTGCATTCCTGCTGTCCACCACAGCAAGGACCTGGCTCTCCTCAATATTAGACAAGCTCCTTGACTAGGCTGGGAGACCTCCTCAGAAGAGAGAAGGCTCTATTTGTCTTCCTTACACATGCCTTCCTTCTGCATAGTAGGCGCTCAGAGAATATTTCTTAGTTACATAAATTCAGAAATCAAGCTTGAGAAGAAATTTATCAGACAGAATAAGGTGAAAACCACCACAAGCCAAAGGGTGGTGGAAGTCCAGGTTTTGTTGGTAAATAGGTGGTCTGTGTGGCTACAATGGGAAAGGAGAGAGAGGAGAGACCTAGAACTTTGAGCCAGAGCCAGTAGCCTTGGCTTTTCAAGATTTCTTCCTTCCTACAGCTAGCCACTGTCTTTCCATTGCCTCCTCTTTGCTGATCTGGCCTCTACTTCAATGTGCCCATCAAGCTTAGCACCTCAGTACGGCTTGATTCTGCCATCTTGGGAAATTAGTCACACTCATTCATACTCAGGTTAAGTATTAATTTAGATTTGTTTGGAGAGACCAATAGAACGAATTCAAGAATGGGCAAGAGGCATAGAGTCATATTTTCCAGAAGCTGAAACATTCAGTCTAAATAGACAGTATCCCTTCTAATAATATGTGAGACTTCAAAACGTTCATAGGAAAATGGAAATCAAGTATGAGCACATTTTGATGTAAAAAAAGGGTTGAAAACCATGCATTTCTTTTTTCAGAATACACATTTCCATGACTTTTTTTGAAGACTCCCTCACATAAAAAGTCTGACTGTCCCAGGAATTAAAAAGCTATGACAGTTTGGGTCTCTAGGATCTGGTCAACTTTCTGTTGATATTCACTAAGATATATTCCTGAATTGGCAAAATAAGATTTGAATAGAGAATTTAAGTCTAACATCATTCTCCATGCATATTACATATAAAAGACAGTATCCGCACATTTAAAAAAAAAAAAAACATTCTGTTTTCTCTTAGTTCTTTCTCTCCATTTCTTCCTTTAATCAACTAGCAATAGGTCTTCCTTTCTACACATGAAGAATTGTGTTTTTTAAGAGATATGATGATGGAACAGAATATTCTGACCTCTGGTGACAATTAAGTAATTTTAAGGCAGAATAAGCATAAATACTACCAGAGGGATACATCACATATCACCAATCAGAGGTTAGATCATAGATTATATCAACTGGGGGATCAAGTGAAGCCTCAGAGAACAAGTGCCATCTCATCCAGCCCTCAAACTCTTGAGGGACGTGTGCATAAGGGAGTGAGGGCAAAGATCTAGGAGAGGAGAGGCACATGTGGGCATAGGATGCCTGTTACGACTTGCGTGGGCCATGTTTTGTTTGGGAACAAAGTTCTGTTCCTAGTGCCCATCCAGAAGGCCTTAAAGGACTAGGACAATGAATGTGTCACTTCTTTCAGCTAACCAGTTTGGGGTGCCATAAGTCTTACCACCTTAGGCCAAAGTCAGAAAAATAATATAGAATTTCACACCTATTAAGTGTGAAATTTTAGAGGAACAATGATAAAAGCCTGAGTCTGATGTAAAACAGAATATCTAAAATCCACAACTGGTAACTAAGACATTTGATTAAAAGCAACAGCACAGTATCACTTTTCAAAACTCAAGGGACTGTCAGCAACTCACTTACCATGGACATGGATACCGTTTGGTTGAAAAGAGTTTGCTTCTGGCTGGTAAGGCTTCAGGTGCGAACCTGATGGCTGCTGGGGGTGGGGAGGCTGTGTTCTCTGAAGTATAGAAGAAGGAGCTGGGACTCTCCGGGGGCTGATGTGGTGAGGAGATGGAGCAGAAGGTGCAAACCTGAAAAGACAATTATAGAAGGAAACATGAAGGACAGACAATAGCAAGAGCAAAGGCATACTCTAAATTCTAACCATTTCTCAAATTCTATCCTTCCATCTTGGCTATACAAGAGTGTGACAACAAGCCCTTTAAAGAAATCTTCAAGACTCTTCTTCCCTTCCTTTAACCAGTGAATTCTGTTTTGTTTTGTTTTTGAAAGGCTTTTGCAATATGGCATAGGCACTTGCCAGAAAGACAGAGAGAGACAAAGAGACAGAAAGTGAGAAATCACCTCCCAGGGCGAATGGCCACGCCACAATCCCCTCTCCTCTTGGGATCTTGGGTACGCATACCCACATACCTGGTGTGAGTTTAAGCCATTGGGTCAGGGACTCGAACCATGGTTGACTACATGGGAGCCTAGTGGCATAGCCATTATGCCATCTGCTGGTCCCCAAACCAGTGAATTCTTAATTGAGATATTAAACTAATAAAAAAGACTAACAAAGGGAAAACCAAGTCATAGTTTGAATTTGTCAAGATTCTTAAAATGGCATTTCGAATAAACAATTCAAAGCACATCTTTTGCCACTTTTTTCCTGCTAATTTTTAAATCCATTTGCATTTTAGGGGAAATCTAATCCGTATGTTTCTGAATCATTTACACTTAGCTCATAAACATTTTGTTTTGTAAGACATATCTGAGATCCAAAAAGTGTTGTTACAAGTCTTGACTATGAGCCTCTCTACCCCTATTCTCTTTTAACAATATATTTTCTTTTGCCAAGAATAAATGAACTTAAACCTCAAAGGTCAAGTGTGGTTTGAAACTCAGAACCCAAGAGAGCTGCGGGGCTTTGATATTTGGCAAAGAACCTTCCTGACTATTCATCATAGGAGCATGACAGGGCATCTTATACAGTCATGTGTGCCAATCACAGTAAGACTATTGGCAGCTTCTGATGGGGGACATATTGATGTTTAAATAAAGTGATGCTGTCAAGGAACCTGGTATATAAAATGGAGGACTGTACATTGATCTTCAAATAGGGAACATGGCAGGATATTGCTAGGTTTAATATGACGGTTTACACTCTCACACGGAGGTGTACTTGTGAGAACGACACTGAAGTCCGGCAATGTCCATAGAGCAGCAAAATGATACTCAACTGGCCAGTTCAGTAGGGGTTGGCACCACTGTGGTAGAGAAAGAAGCAGGAACTCTGTCAATGCAGTGAAATGAAGCAGCAAAATAATTTGGGGGAAAACTATACTAGCAATGAATTGTTTAGTCTCTCCAAAAAAGCCCATTAAGCTGAAAACTTTTAATTGGCTGTTTCTTACACTGTGTAGAAAGACAAGCTTTGTTTTGCGATACCATGTATAGGTCACCATCTGTTTACATCACTGTTTCACAGGAACAAATAACTTCACTTTGATGAGCTTTTGTGTCAGATCATTGGTGATAAAAAGGGAAGATGAACCAGTCAAGTTTGTAATTTGAAATATTCTGAAGCAGAATATTCAATTAGGCAGAGTTTCTACATTTGTACTCTTGTGCCAAGAAAGCATAGGATAAAATCCCTTTTTTTTTTTCTTTTCCCTTTGGAGGTGCAATGAGGCTATTTAAGGTGATGGGGCCAGTTTGGTAGATTACTATTAAAGTTGTCGGACCCCACCTGGCTAACCACAGTTTGAATCCAGGCACTCAGCAGCCTGAGAATCACACTGGGTGTGTGTGTGTATGCACCCCTCAAATCCAAACGTGACGAGGAAATGGGGAAGAGATTGCAAGATGACCATACCCTGTTGTAGGGTGCTTTCTCTATTTCTTTCTCTTTCTCTCTACCTTTCTCTGTCTCTTTCTCTGGAGAGTACATGTGCCCTGTATCAATTAAAAAAAAAAGTGATGTAGAAACTAAGGAGGGAGGATTTGGACTCTAATCTCTAGAGAAAAGAAGTCAGGGAGGTTTAAACAAACCAGCTGGTTAGGTTGCCTGCTTAATCTATCACTTACATTTTGCACTCTGCTGAAAAAGATGAGTAACTGAGTGTCCTGTACCAGGCAAATATATATTTTCCAAGCATATCATCTTAATTGGCATTATCCTGTAAAAATGTGCTGAATGGCCTCAAGAGAAAACACAGCAAACAAATCCTGGCACTGCCCAAAGAACACCAGTAAAACTCATCAGCCAGATTCCTCACATGGAGGCTGTTTTCTGGGTGAGTGTGTCCTTAATATGTCTCACAGGTCACTCTAAGGTTGTGGGAGAGGGATGAGGAGTTGTGGGATCACAGATTTTAAGGGTAGAGGAGTCCACACTATCACCCAACCTGGAATTCCCTGGTCCTTAAAGATTCCCAGGGACAGAAGAAGGGAGGATTTGAATTTCAAGGCAACTTACAACACTATTAAAAGTCATTGTTCACATCCCAGTTTTGCTTTTTTTGGGCAAAGGAGTAAGACCCTTTGACTGGTTCTCTAAATGTATTCCCTCATGCTCTAGATGGTTTTCTGGACTTTTCTTCTGGACTCCTGCTAGCCTCTTTCTGCTGAGAACAGAAAGGGCAGAGGGATGGGTGGATGGGCCAGTTGGCAGGTTTTAGGAAATATAATTCTGATATAATTGGTCTGATAGAGAACAATTTTGTTTCAAAATTATCCACCCTCAAAGAACAGTAAGTCTGACTCATAAACATGGGCTTGATTGTCAAAGACTAGAGAATGAAGATGAGGAAGGAGAAAGAAGCACAAGTTCTTAGCAACATAAAAAGCTTATACTTTCATAATTTGAAACTATATGGCCAATGGGTAAATTATGATGACTAACTACAAAAAAGGGGAGCATTTATCCAACTAAAAGGATAAAAATCATTAGAAGTCATCATATAATGTAGATTCTATCTATAGATATAGAATCTATAATACATATATACTATATAATTATATGCTAGATAGAATCATGTTTATCTACTCATTCATGCAATACCCAAACCTTGGTCATGGTTTTTTGGCTACCAAATATTACAAAATATGATAACAACATTGAGTAAAGGAAAAAAAGGAGGGGTAGGCACATACTGAGCTTCAAGCACTGCTATACCAAAGACCTGGGAGAATAAAATGTCATGTCTTCAACTGATTCTACTTTTTCTTTTTGCTAATTCAGGCTGAATTCACCTGTAAGCTTTTCAAACAAAAGAGATTATGTGGTATAAAGCTAATGTAATTTCAAAACACAGTTTGTTGTCCATTATCAAGTATTAGGAAAATTTTATAAACTATTCTGAGATAAATATATACTTAAAGTTTCTTTTGATTTGGAAAAAAAAGAATTAGTATATAAAATTTAAAATTTTCCCCATAGAAAAATGAAATGTGACCAGAGGTGATCACGATTTTTTAGACAATTGCTAGGAACAAGTAAGTAAATAAGAATTTACAACTTAAAGTCCAGCATAAGAGGTGAGTGTACAAGTAAGGCTAATTTTCAAGTATAGCAGAGAGAATCAATTTATTACTTTTTAAAAACATTATATAGTATTTTATGGAGAAATTCCTCACAACCTCTCTATTAATTTCTTTTCTACATACTTTGTTACTTGTTAATCAGACTAGAGAGAGAAAATATCAGGGTGACAGAAAAGGAGAAGAGGGGGAAAAATTAGAGTCCCATATGAGGCAAGGCCACTGGAAATGTCCAAGCACAATCCTTGACAATTCAGAGCAACGAAGATGCCAGAAAGTGATTTAAAAAGCCAAAAGCAGGCTGGCCTTCTAGTAATACAGTGGTTAATAAGCACTGAGTGGGACCAGCAGATGCTTTAATGGTTACATCACTGGACTCCTGCACAGTTGACCATGCTTCAAAGTCCAGGACCAGAGGCTTAAAACTCAAGCTGGGTGCATGTGTGTGAGTACTGAAAATCCCAAGAGAAGAATAAAGGAGAAGAGATTGTGGCATGATCATCCTTCCGGGTGGTGATTTCCCACTTTCTTTCTCTGTCTGATGAGCACACGTGTCCCTATAGCAAAAATCTCTCTAAAAATAAAATAAAATAAAATAAGCACTGAGCATGGGAACTGGATGCCAATATGGCCGACTATAGTTCAAGTATTGGCCCCAGATGCTTGAAAAACATGTCCATCAAATGTAGGTGCATGCCTAAAAGCCTGGCAGAAGAAGACATGGAGCAAAAGTCTGTAGTGTGACGATGACCTACTGAGAGGGTGGGGAGAAGGTGGGGGGCAGCAAAAAAAAAAAAAAAAAAGCCAAGAACTAAAGAAATTGCGTAGTTTCAAACCATTTAGTGCAAACCCAAGTAACAAGCAAAAAACATGCAAAAAACATGCATACCTAAACAGAAATTCACTAAGCAAAACATGAATTGTTCTTACTATTGTTGAAGGTAAGATGGAAGCCTCAGAATCCCATTTTCAAAGTGTTTCCACCTATTTTCCAACCCTCTTTCTTCAACACACACGTTAAAATAAACATGCTCTGAAAGTTTTTTTTTTAAATCAAGAAATGGTGGATCAAAATTTTTTGATGCTAAAATAAACAAAAAATTTTGACGCCAAAGATAAACTCTTGTTATTTATAATTTTTTTTTCCAATGGAATATATCATTCCCCAGATCCATCAGGCCAATCTGACATCACTTTAATTCTTTCTGAGTTACAATGTGGCTAAGAGGCAGAAGAAATCAAAAATCTTTTTAGGTCCAACCCTGTCTCCCAGCTGCTGATCTACAGTTGACATTTTAGAGACTTCATTCCACGTGGTTTACTAGCCTCTTCTTTAGCCTAGTTGCTTCTTTGAAGTAAAGGATGATTGCTACATAAATAGGCACATAACAGACTGGGGAAAAAAATAAATCACTGGTTACCAGAAGCAGATCACAAAAATTCAGAGAACTGAGACAACCACTTCCACTCATTTGGTAGAGGAGTTTGTATAACCTTAGCAAAAGAAGTGGTTTGCCAAGAATTAAAAGTGGGATGGAGGACAGGC